AAAGATGCGGTTTTCATCTGAAACCATTAATTCATCGATTAAAATGAAGTCATTAATTCATCGGTTAAAATGAAATCTTTAATTCACCAATTAAAATGAAATTCTTCAATTTATCGATTAAAATGAAATCTGCAGACATTCGTTTATTTGAAAAAGGAAGCAATATGTAGTTTACAAATATATTTCATTCGGAAAAGAGACAAAGGATGAAATAAAAAAGGAAGAGAGACACAGAGAGAAATCGTTACTTCTGTTACCATTAAATATTTAAATCTTTATGAAGCATTCATAATATGGAGTAAACCTAATGCGTGATCTGCCAAGTCTCATCACACACATACCTACACATATAATGCATATATAATGTATGTGTGCTTCATCTCTCTGTATAAACAAATGTATACACTCCACACACACACACACATATATACGTGTGTGTGTGTGTGTGGTGCGTGTGTGTGTGTGTGTGTGTGTGTGTGTGTGTGTGTGTGTGTGTGTGTGTGTGTGTGTGTGTGTGTGTGTGTGTGTGTGTGTGTGTGTGTGCGTGGTGTGTGTGTGTGTTGCCATCAGATGTGAACGTAAGACCGCCGCTTGCCACCCGATATGAACGAGAGAGGAGCGGCCTTAGTACAGGTGAATGAAAGGGGTCTTGGATTGTGGGTTTATTACTGAGGGTAGATGTAAGACCCCAGGAGACCCTTTGTCCATCTACCAAAGGCAGAGTGGTGACACTCCACCTGCTGGAGTGTCAGACTGAGTTCAGGTGAATTCGCTGAGTTTGCTTGAGGAGAGATGTGGTATTTGGGTAAACCAGGCTTTGGAGTGGTATGTGCAAAGCAGCTGCTTCCTGTGATGCTGTACTCTCAGGCGGACTTCGACAGGAACGGACAGCCTTTGTTTCAGCCAGGGACAGATATGTGGAAAGATTGTTTACGTCGCTCGCCACGCAAAAGGCTCGTCCTCGAGCCGTCTGCAATATCTGCAACACTACAAGAGGCATCAGGAACAACGATTTGTTCATTAATTCCACTACAAAAGGCGCGTCGGGATACAGGTTCTGCTAGGCATCTCCACATGGTTCTTGGTGATCCAATGGTCGCTAAGGTCGTAGCATGCCAGAGTAGCGGGTGTGACGGTTTTGCAGTGAGGCAACATTCAGTAGGAAGGAGGGTCATCTTGGCAGTGAGGGTCACATCGTCTTCAGAGGCTGAAATATAAGTGTACCAGGCCAGTAAAAGGGCTAAGAGGGGGATAATGAGTTACTTGTCAGTAACCTCACTAAGATACCTTACCAATAAGAATTTGTCACAAGAAGGGCCAAGTTTCACATGAGTTGTTAAATACTTAGGATTTGTTAGGATTAGCGAGTTCAGTAAACATATTGTATAGAGAAAAATTGATGAAAAATAATTCCTTATCTTCAGGCTAAATAGGCACATAGAGGCAGCTGGGCTTGCTCTCAGTTCTTCCCGTGCGCATCCCGGGCGCGTCAAATCGTAACATCGTAAGCGTCGTGTGAGCGTAAGTGTGAGCAAGATCTACAAAAGTGCTATATAGACCTTGAGTATTAGTGGATTCTCGGGGCGGCGGACGTCGATGCCTTCGTTTATCGTCATGAGCCGTGCTTATAATTATCTTCGTGATAATAATGTGTCTATATAAAGCATGGTAACTGCAGTGTTGTTGCCATAGTTTGCAAGAGAGTGGACTCATCAGTTGGATGCATGTTGCATATTCACCGATAACTTTAAACTAAAGAAGCATTAATTCCAGCATTACAGGACAAGATGTCGCTGAGAGGCCGTCATTAAGCGAGTTAGAATCAGTCTTAAATCAAATGGATGGCAATTATTGCAATGCATAATCCTAGAGTGAATTCCGTTTAGAGCGGTCAAGTGGGTGGTTTTTGGGCTTATAGCAGGTAAGCGACACCTATGTGTGAATAAGCGAATGATTAGCTCGGCAAGTATAAGGGAAAACAGGTATAAATACAGGTCGTTGTGACAGTTACAGTGCTATGCACACACTCACAAAGGAAGTAGTGAAGCCCCCACTAGTAGTGATACAATCTGCAGGTGAAAACAATAATGTCACAACGAAAGTCGCAATAGTAAATAATAGAACAACAGCATAAACGCTTATAGTTATTTGTTTTGAGAAAATAAATATAATGAACTGTGGAATGTGAGGACAACAAATATAATAAACATAAAACAACAATAGTATTACTAGTTAAAAGAATATATATATATATACATATATATATATATATATATATATATATATATATATGTATGTATATAAAATAAATTTATATATATGATGTAATGTGAGTTTTATTCATGATACGAAAGTAATGTTTCAGTGAATATACTGCGTGCGGGTATTAACGAAATGATAAATATAACATTTTTAGGCCTAATTATCCATCTTAAAGCTTAAATCTCTGTGACTCAATATGCGATACATTAGCTTGTCCATACATAATATTCCAGTTTAATACAGTGTCTGTTAGATGATCTCGACAGCACACCAAGGAACTCTTCGTTAACAGAGTTGGTCTGGTCCCTATCAAATTATCTCTGGCCAAATTAATTCTTGACTCATATTATCTCTCATCGCCTGTCTAATTATACAAATCAGTACAGCTCTATCTACATACTTTTTTATCTTGACTGACCTCACTTCAGATTTCGTAGTTCTTATGCGTTATCTCTTGTAGGGTAGAGATAGGCATTTTTAATTGTCACATTAAAAAAAATATATTCCCGTATAAGTAGTGTTTTAGAGTTTTCACCGGTTATTGGATAATAACAAAAGATGTAAAACGATTGTTTCTCATTTGAACTTTATTACGCAATCAAGTATGACCTTCAATGGACTCGCTAAAGTCAGTGACGCTATAGCACTTGAGCTACATGTATGATAATACAAGAGCTTAAGCTTACGTGGAGAAATTACACAAAAAAACATTCAGCTAGAATTGACCTTTGTGTTTTTGGTAATTCTTGGCAAGTGAATGTTATCGTATACATCAATAAGGGATAATGGATTTCAAGTACAAAAAATATCCCTTTTATATTCATACAAAGCTAATAATAGGGCTATGTAGTTATCGGTAATTCAAAATCTCCCGCCACGTAGACAGAACCATCTGGCGGCCGAATCTCAAACCGCAACTTGATTTGTTTTGGCGCGTTGGAACAGCTGATCGACAGATCCAGGGAAGGGGTAATAATTTTGTTATTTTGGCTTATGCGGTATTAATTGTTGGATGAGAAGAGTGTAGATATGATAGTTTTTACTGTAAAGAACATACAGCATAGTTGTGGTAAGTTAAATGATGCTGGTATTGAGGACAGATGGTGGAATGCATGATAGTTCGTTAAGTTCACATTTGAAACAATGTAAATAAACTTGATTTGGGTATATTCGCTTACATTCCAAGCTATTATATTTTATGAGAAGTAATAAAGGTTTACATTGAAAACGTTGATGTGATATTGCACATTTTCTAGCATTATATGAAGTTGAAGGGGTAAAAGTCGGCTAACTCTCACACGCCCACACATGAGGCCTGTCACACACTGTAGAAATTAGACAATGTCAAATAAGCTCTAAAGATTTTGGTAAAGTTTGTTTCAAACAGCCTTTCAACCCTGCAATTGTTATTTCAGTTATTCATGTTGCAATCCTCTGTTTTCCATTGCAAATGATCTGTGAAACAATTGGTAATTGTATACATAGTACCCTCACCACTCTAAGCCTAATTACTACAGTCATATCTGGGAAACCACAAACATTGCAATATAAACCAAAAACAAAATTCCAGGCACTTCTCCTCCAGACTCCCACCTGACCGTTAGACCTATGTATCCCAGTGGACGGACTGTAGAATATTTTTCTTGCATGGAGAGTATCACATTTTTTCATGCATGGAAAAGATAATTTTATCTACATTTGTACAGAAATTTGACAATTCCTTTTTGAATACCTATCTTGAAGATAGGGTTGATATTGTAACGGGTTGTCAATATTGTATTAGGAATCAGTTGTTAACAGAACTGAGCCTTTGTGGAAATCATGTAATGCTTTGCAGGAGATCCCCGATGTAGTAGAATTGTATGTATCCTAGATTGGCACATTGGCGTTCACTTTCACTTTCATATTTTAAATTCTCTCTGTAGACCATTCAAAATAAAAGAGTCCTTAACTCAATGCCAATCTATATACCTGACATAAAACAGAGCTAATCTGTGGACAGATGATGAAACAAGTGCGTGGAAAGGTCAAAAGAATTTTATGCACGGAAGATGATGTAAAAAAGAACTAAGTGTGTATGGAAAGTTACCCGAGAACTACCTTTGCGCGTTCCCCTCGCAGACCAAACTACAGTCTGGCCCAGTGGTAGGATATACCTTGGTCCCCCACCAGACTGCCATGGAATTACTCTGTGGACAGTGTTTGTTGCAAGCATTTTTTTTAAAATTTATGTCATGAAGTTTTCCCTATTGTAAAGTAAAAAAGTATTATAGGTTACAGAACTTTCTAAAGTGTCTTATTTTTTATTGTTTACTGTTTTCTATATGGCTGTGTGAAATGGAAGCTATACCATTTGTAATTTGCAATTGTTTCCAGAATATGTCATGTTAGGATATGCTAAGTGGTAAATTACAAATGTTGATTTTTTGGTAATTCTTTAGAGTATGGATGCACTCATCAAAGTTTAAGTCCCAACTCCACATCTAAAAATTTATGGTAATTTTCTATATTACGTCTGCATGACCAAGATCGACGATTTTTGTATCATTGGATTCCTCTCACACTATACAATGCAAATATGTAGGTTTTATTACGCGGAAACCCCGTTAGCAACAAACTTGGCCCCGATAGCGGGGGCGACGATGTCGGAGGTAATATATAATATTACCCTAATAATATAACCTCAATGAAAATAATCATGGTTATTCACATGGCTTTCCATTGCAGGGGAAACAAATCCTCCACCACGTATTCAGGGCAGGATAGAGCGCACACGAATTAGATGCGGTGCCGATAACCTACAGTGACCTAGGATTTTTAAGGTACTTACCTGATTGATTAATGCTGCTAATTAGTAGGGAGGGTGCTCCTTTGCCGCAGAATGTTAAGGAGGCAGGGTGCGTCCGGCAGGAGGTCCTAGGCCGGAGGATACAGCCTTCTCCCGACGGAGGAGGCCATGGCGGAAGCACATCTCTAGCATTTTTTCCTGGCTAGTTGCAATTTCGCACAGAAAATCTGTCTCCGAATACGAGCATCCTCCACACTCGGCCATCGCGGCGGCTATGACTGACTTCTGAACGCGAAGGTTATTTCGGTTAGGAATACGGATATCGTTTTCCAGAGGACGGGAAACTCGACCTTGAGGCCATTGGTGTAACATGGAAAGAGGCGCAAAACCCTTTTCATCCTGATTATACTACAATCATCTATATACAATGCAGACTATGCCAAGGTTAATATGCTGATTCAGTGGGAATCTTACGAGGTAATTGTAATATTACGCCCTCCGCTTCGACATCGACGATGATTGTGTAACGCTCTAGCCTGCCGGGAATACGTGAATACGTGGAAAGTTATGTGAATAACCATGGTTATTTTCACTGTGCGTTATATTATTAGTGTTATTTAACCCCGCATTTTCCCTGTAACCTTTCATGCCCTCCCCTGCTATCGGGCCAAGTTTTGTCGCTAACGGGGGGTTTCCGCACAATAAAAACTATATATTTGCAATGTGGAGAGTGAGAGAATCCAACGATACGAAAATCGTCGATATCGGTTATGCGGACGTAATATAGAAAATTACCAAATTTATTTATCAGTTTAAGTCGCTGTGACTGGGTGTGCACTTTGGGCACTGCCGAGAGGAGGGCAGTTGCCCTGGAAAACATAGTCTTCACCTCGGTATGCATGGCAAGATAGAGCTGAAATTCGGGAGCACCAAGAGGATTTGGGCTGAGAGTGGTGATTTTCTCTGATCTTTACCTTTATTTGTATCTGCATATTATTTCTTGTACTGATGATTGCAACTATTTGTCCTCTAACAAGAATATCATATTCAGTTTGCCCTAACTTAGTGCATCCATACAGTAAAGATTAGTCATATTGTCAGATTATATAACAGTGAAAATATATTATTTGTTTTGAGTAGTTATTTAGCTTTTTTTGGCCACACTATTTGTCGTACTGGGCTGTCCACAGTTTTACTACATGTGATTATTGATATTTGTATTTTTATATATAGATTATTCTAGATGATAGTATGGAATCCTAATTATTATTTCCTTTAATTTGATATTTTAACCATGCCAATGTGAGGTTAGCCCCACCTCAGTGTGTCTGACCCTAGTGCAACTTGTAGATATGGAATTCTTCAGAAGTTCTTGTTGATAAGGAAAGCTTGGTGAAAAGTTTTCCTTCCTTTCTCAATTCATGACATTTGGAGTTTATACAGAAAAATTTAGGGATTATCTGCAATAAGTCACTTGATTAGAATATCAAGTTTTGAACTTTGGATATGCTGGATGAGGCTGGTGAAAGCTAACTAGAAGGTACCAGACTTGCAAGGTTGATTTACTGTGTATATTTGAATAAAAAGAAATATAAGCTTGCCATTTTTTCACATTATGTCCATAATTGCTAGGATGAAAATAGGTTAAATGTTAACCAACATTCATAAGATGTTAGAGCTTAATATATGTTACACTTATTAATTGATATAATTCTGTAAGGACTGCACTAAGATAGGAAGACCTAAGAGTACTGTCATAGAGGAAAATACTTCACCTACTGATATATGAAATATCTGTGCAGGCATGAGAATAGCATCAGAAATAAAGAAAATAGGTTGCAAGAAATGTGCAGTGACCAAGTCCAGCCAGCTTAGTTGTAAAGTAATCCTTATAACCTGTCAGTGTGCATGTAATTTGTGAATTTGCCGTCGATCATTGTCACTCTCTTAACTCAATTACGATAGGAGCCCCCAGTGCTTCAGGGTGCATGTGGAGTAAGCTGCTCGAAGGAAGAATCAGAAGAATAGGAAACAAGATTACCATGCTTGCCATGCTTTTGGCTGCAGATGCACAATTTAGAGCAGGCTTGACTGCATGTGGCACAAAGACAGCATTCTGTCAAGAGGTTGGCCTACCATGATAGGATTTCATTGTGATGTGAATGGGTTGAAAAGTCACTACTTTTATTTTATTTTATATATCATCTACTATTGCCATTACTAGAAAGATAAATTTCAGTGACATCATTAACCATTAACCCTGGGTTAAAAGTTTGGCTAGTGGGTCACTAGCAGGGGGTTGTTGGTACTCACCTGTTTGTACCTGGTTCGTTTGGTAGTTTTAGGGGCAACATAATTCACTTAAAAGGTTCAATTTTGGTATCATAAAAAAGTGAAGGTTTACCTTCACATTAGATGCTATTGCTTAAAAGTTCACCATACAAATGATGTTACTACTATTGGAGGAAAACATGATGAGCCAAAGGCATGGGAATGGTCGTCATGCGATGCCACCAGCTACTTGGTCCACAACAGGCATGGCATATACATATATTCCACCCAGTGGGAAGGGGTTAATGATATTGTCATTAGGAAAGCAAATAGTTTATGTTACTGATATTGAAATACTAATAGTATTATTATTTAATAGAAATACTAATTTAAAAAAATAATGATAGAAATAATAATGATAAAATAATAATAATGAAGATGATAATAATGAAAATAATAAAGATAACGATAATGGTAATGAAAATGATGGCAATGATGATAATAATAATGGTAAAGAGGATACTTGTGCCAAGGCAGTAGGGTCACTGGTGCAATAGAAATATTCACACAAAGAATTACAATAAATTCACTTCTTTCTGAAGTGCATTGGTATGTCCTTGGTAGATCTAATAATGGCAATGATAATAATAATAATTACTCCTATTACCAAGGCAAGAAGCGTAGCTATACAATCATTTAAAAAATTCTGGGTCCAGATAACCACCAAGATTTATTAACATCTAAATTAGGCTAAGACACACCTCTAGTGAAAATTCAATAAAAATCTGTTCGTAACTTTTGAGTTATCCTGATAACCAACCAACCAACTAACTAAAACAAACAAACTAACTAACTAACTAATTAGCTAGCTAAGTAACTGACAGACTTACAACCAAATTCAACCATAAACATAACCTATTTGGTAAAGGTAATGATAATTGTGATAATGATAGTGATGAAAATCGTGATGATAATAGTGATAGTAATAGTGATAATAGTGTTCATAACAATACCAACAACAACAAAAAAATTATTTGACTTCAAGTCCACAGTGATATCAAAATGAAGACACTTCAGATCTACAGTCACATGGAATATGATAACAGGTATAAAATGTAAGAGTAACATTTGAATTGATGAATGAAATACAAACAGAATTATAATATAATGACAGTGATGTTGATTATATTTGTTTTTGTTTGTTTATTTATTGTTGTAGTTTATTTATTGTATTTTTTATTTGTTATATATTATTATTATTATTATTATTATTATATTATTATTATTATTATTATATTATTATTATTATTATTATTATTATTATTATTATTATTATTATATATTATTATTATTATTATTATTATTGTTATTGTTATTATGTTGTTGTTTTGTTGTAGTAGTAGTTGTTAGTTTGTGTTGTGTTGTTGTTGTTGTTGTTGTTTGTTATTAGGTTATTATTATTGTCTTTATTATTGTTCATTATTATTATATCATTATTATTGTTACTATTTTGTTATTATTATTATTATTATTATTATTGTTATTATTATTATTATTATTATTGTTATTATGTTATATCATTATCATTATTATTATTATCATCATTTATTATTATTATTATGTGATTATTATAACATATTATATATTATTATTATTATTATTATTATTATATTATTATTATTATTATTATTATTATTATTATTATATTATTATTATTATTATTATTATTATTATTATTATGATATTTTATTATTATATATTATTTATTATAGATATATTGTATTGTATTATTGTTGTTGTTTGTTCTTGTTATTGTTATTTTTGTTGCTGTTATTATTGTTATTATTGTTACTATTGCAGTTAATGGTGTGTGTGTTATTGTTGTTGTATTATATTATTATTATTATTATTATTATTATTATTATTATTATTATTATTATTATTATTATTATTATTATTATTATTATTATTATTATATTATTATTATATTATTATTATTATTATATTATTATTATTATTATTATTATATTATATTATTATTATTATTATTATTATTATTATTATATTATTATTATTATTATTATTATTATTATTATTAATTATTATTATTATTATATTATTATTATTATTATTATTATTATTGTTATTGTATTGTTATTGTTATTGTTATTGTTATTGTTATTGTTATTGTTATGTATGTTATTGTTATTATTATTGATATTCATTATTATTGTTATTGTTATTATTGTTGTTGTGTGTTGTTATTATTATTATTATTATTATTATTATTATTATTATTATTATTATTATTATTATTATTATTATTATTATATTATTATTATTATTATATTATTATTATTATTATATTATTATTATTATTATTATTATTGTTATTGTTATGTTATTGTTATTGTTATTGTTATTGTTATTGTTATTGTTATTGTTATTGTTATTATTATTATTGTTATTATTGTTATTATTGTTATTATGTTATTATTGTTATTATTGCTATTGTTATCATCATCATCATCATCATCATCATATATCATCATCATCATCATCATCATCATCATCATCACATCATTATCATTATCATTATCATCATTATCATTATCATCATCATCATCATCATCATCATCATCTCATCATCATCATATCATCATCATCATCATCATCATCATCATCATCATCATCATCATCATCATCATCATCATCTCATCTTCATCTTCATCTTCATCTTCATCTTCATCTTCATCTTCATCTTCATCTCATCTTCATCTTCATCTTCATCTTCATCTTCATCTTCATCTTCATCTTCATCTTCATCTTCATCTTCATCTTCATCTTCATCTTCATCTTCATCTTCATTTCATCTATCATCTTCATCTTCATCTTCATCATCATCTTATCATCTTCATCTTCATCATCTATCAATTCTCATCATCATCTTCATCATCTTCATCAATTATCATTATCATTATCACTATCACTATCACTATCACTATTACTATCACTATCACTATTGCTATTACTATTACTATTACTATTACTATTATATTATTGGTATTTTCTATTTTGATTGTATTATTAGATATATTATTTGATGAGAGAAGGAAGTTTTATGGATGGCTTAGATTATTTTTGTAATTTATGGATATTTGTGTTATAACTACATATTGGTCAAAGAGACAATTTGATATTTTTTGAATTTCAGAATAAGAACCAAGCAAGATGTCTCTGGTTGCTGATGTAATAGCATCAGTTAGTAAGTATCTTTGTGATTTTCTTTTTCACAGTTTGACTTAATTTACTTTTATATCTTTTCATAGTGTGAAATACGTTTTCATTCTGCCCAAATTTATTGTTTGAAAAGGATATTACATTCATAGTCATGATTAACAAAATGAAATTTTATTTTTCCAGGAAGCAAAAGTGGAGAGAAAGCAGGGAAACCTGGAACAGGTCAGCTGGAGGAGTTGGTAAAACGTGCAGAAGAGGCTCGCGAAGCAGTATGCCAGACACTTGGATCCCGATATGATTCTTTGGCAATGGTTGTTCATGACACTGCACATCTGCATCATCGTGTTGCTAATGCCTTGGAGGATCTGACAAATCTGCACAGTTCTATTGAACAGGAGGTATTGATGAAGTAGAAGTTGCAAAGGAATTCCTATGCAGATCTTTTACAAATCTAATTTCAAATTTTTACATTAACTTTAAGTAATGACTACTACAATAGATATCTTTCATTTTGTCAATGATAGCAACTGAAGCTAATTTTAAGGTATTGCTATAAAAGAACAGTGCTGTCAAGGCGGAGCATACATTTTTACATTTCATTTAAGAAAGGATTTTTAAACTAATAATCATATATAACCCTGAAGGGATTAGAATTCGTAGTTTTGTAAATTTATCAGAATCAGATAGTTATATAACGTACTCTCCTGACTACAGGTAGTGAATGGTTTAGAAGGCAGTGTAGGTGAGGTTGGGGGTGTGGTAAGGAGATGGAGGGAGGTGGTTGGTGGCTTGGAAGCTGCCTCTACTCTCTTGACCATACACACGTTGCTAGATGAGGCTCACCAGGCCGAACTAGAATATGAATTCCTGAAGACTGCTGAAAATTTAGCAAAGGTATGTTTTTTATTTTAATTTTTATTATCCCTTTTTTAAAGGGAAGCTAAATGATTATGGTTTCTTTTTTTTTTTTTTTTTTATCAAGAAAAACTATGTAACTGTATTTGCTTTACCCAGATATATGAAAGAATATTATTTTTTAAATCATATATTTTATAATCTCAAACCTCTTCTTGTTGTCTTAAAAATGTTTTTACCATAGGTTTTAAATTCATCTTAGTTGTACATATGTACAGCCAACAACAAAAGCGATGTCGCCTTGCCAGCCCTGGCTTGGAGAGATCATACCCTTATCCTAAAACAACCTGGACATAGTTAGGAAAGGGGGGAAGAGGATGGGGGTGATCAGGACTCACTAGTCAAAGCAAGGAGTGAGTGTTCTGCTATGTTTCAGTAGTAGTAAATGGCATTGCCCACAAAATTTCAGTGGGGTGTAAAGGTTTAGGTATTGATTCCCTTGTTTTCCATTTATTTCGTTTGGGTGCCTCCTACGAACCAAGACCTTCATTCGTGTTCAGGAATCACAAAACATGGCTTGGTTGGGGTTAGCTTGAGTGAAATGGGCCACTTGGCTCCACCCCTTGCAATCATATACTTATAGTAAGTATTTATATTTATTGTGCTAGTTTAAAGTTTGACTTTTAACATATCATTTAGTGTCACATCATTAGATGGCAGTCTTTAGAACTGGGCAGATTGGGTACTCCCCAGCGAACCTCCATCCCGACTCAGACATGCTCACTCACCCCCAAAGGACCAAGTCTAGCTTCACTCTACCTAAGGCAAAGGCAATATTCCCATGGCCTTGATTCTACCTATTCTTACATTTTTAATTGTCATTTCAATGGCTGGTGCCCAACACCTTGTTGGTGTTCCCCTCCTACTATTCAAGAAACCCATTACTTTCGATATCTTCTGTTCAATCTGTGTTTTACATATTCATTTTGTTAATTTTGGCAATGAAATGATAGTAGACATGTGGAAAATATAATGGAGTATGAAATTTTGTCATGAATATAGTTCTGTTTTCCAAATATCATCTCAAAAGTTTACCATTATCTAAATTGTGGATCCAGGTGATGATAGAAGGAGGGAGAGAGAGAGAGAGTAGCTGTTTGGGATAATGTAGAGCTATATATTAATATATGTCTCTGGGATAATGCAAATTTAGGATATTTCTGTCTTATGAATATTAATATTGATAGTCAATTCCATCAAGATTTAGGATTTTTTTGTATAGAAAATATGATAAGAAATTAAGATAAAACAATGTGATAAAGTTTCTTGATAATTATTTTTGAAATGGTATATGGTAACTTATTTCTTAACCTAATAGCGATGGTATATTTTGAAGCCGATAATAGTAGTTCCTGGGTGGCTTCAAAATTGGCTAACCCGGAATCTGCCCGAGCGCTGGCCATGGCCCGTGACGGAATCGGAGCGCAAGCTCTGATCCACTGTCACACTGGAGGGACGCGAGGCAATGTTTATTTTTCCGGGTGTCTCACATGTGGGACACATGTCGTAAATGGGTAAAGGCAGGTCTCTAATAAGTCCGTTAAATTAACAGCTAAACGGGAATAAAAGCAATCCCTTTCTTTCTCTCTCTCCATATATATTTCATTGCACTTCTTTGCTTGATTTCCTCCTCCTCACATTTGAACCATTCTAAATATGTCCTGGTTATTTGAACGTAGGCCTCCTTTCAGGGCAAGAAGGGCTTGATGTATTCGAGCCAGCCGTGGCTTTTGTTGTTGGCTGTACAGTCCCAGAAATGCCACTAGTGCAGTCCACTACTCGGAGACATTATACAAGAAGAATCATATGTCCATATAAAAAGTGCTGCATGTATTGCATTACCCTGATATTTACTACACTTAGGCGGAAGTACTGAGTTGGTAAAATTCAAGTAATTCTTAATATTCTCAATTGTTTGAAAGGTTGATAAACTTCTAGAGGATGCATCTGAGAAGGATGTAGAGGGTCAACTTGACCTTCTAAGTACTCTGCAGGAGGAAATGCTGGTCAGAAGGACACAGTTGGTTTATACCATTGGTGAGGTAAGACTATGATCCTTTTTGAATTGACCAAAGGGCTTGCAAGTCATGTAAATGGTTTGACCATGAAAAAGGTAAATCAGATTTTGTAGAAGTGGAGAGAAAATACATTTTCTTCTCTTATTATTTCTTTATTATATTGTTTTTTATATATGAAATTGATGTGACTTGATAAAATTAATCATGATGACTTCAAATGGAAAAACATTCATTTTTACTTGAATTTGCATTTTAGGCATTTTAGTCATTTACTTAATAGCTATAGAATGGATGCATTTCACAATGACAGGTCTGGAATGAAACATTGACCTGGGAAGAGGAGCGTCTGGGAGATGGTTCCAGATCAGTCACTTTGGTAGTGCAAGCGGTGAAGTATGAGTCAAAAGAGGATGGATTACATAAACTCCAGCAGATGTTGGGTGCATTGCACATGTTGGGAGAACTCCAGCGTCGTGTCACATCCCTTGGCAAGAATCTCATGAATCACATTTTCAAGTATGATGCTTACTCTTCTTGTCTGACTTTCTTATTTTAAAGTAATATGTATTTTCAGAGACTAATATGCTTCACTTCTGTTAGACATGCTTGTGCTTTTTGAGATGTGATGCCCATAAGAGGAATCCTTACCCTTTTAAGAAAACAAATGGCTGTTGTTATTATATTGAATTCAATCTTTCCTTTTGCAATTACAAATTATATGATATTATTTACCAAGAAATAGTCAAAACCCTTCCATGGCTTTTGGGAATGAATATTAAATGTATTTACTATACTGCTATTACGCTAGCTGGGTGTGGTAACCATGCTCCCGATTTGTAAAACCAACTGTAATAGTAGTATAGTGTAGTTTATGTCACTAACACGTTTTATGAATTATCAGGCCTATAATAAATGATGCAGCTAAGGTGAAAGCCACTGATCGAAGAAGTGATGGATATTCTGTCCAGGTCACATTACCTGCAAACACTAAAGAAAAGACACCAGCATCCACAGTGTTTGTGCATCTCACTCAGGTTTGTTATTTTCTTTATCAAAAGTCAAAATGTCAAAAAGTGTTCCTCTATAGTGCCTAGATACATTCCACTGACAGGCAGTCTTTGAGTTGTGAAGAAATAAATTTTAAGATGGTTTTGTAGCATGTGTTATTAGCAGTGCTATTGCAGGGAGAAGTTTTGATATTTTTCAGAGTAGAAAAAAATACACTTGGTTATGAATATATATTTCAAACTTGTATAGAATCTTTGCTGAATATCCATATTAGCTTCAGCTTGTCCAGATTAACAATATAGCTTAACTCATAGCCTATGGATGACATGAGTTTCATGTCATGGCTGACTTGGGTGTGTGGCTCTGGGCGAAGGGTTATTCATGCCATGCTGCAATAGTGTACATTATCTTCATAAGCAAACTTCATGTCATACCACATCCCCTGGGCATTGCTTAAGGGCAGATGGGATGTGTAATGCTATAATTGGCTATTGTTTTGTATAAAGGGTGAATTTAAAGATATTGCACATCAAAACATGGCACTCTCTTTCTGTTATGTGAACCTGTTAGTAACCTTCACTCTTGTTTATGAGATCTGTCTCCTCGTGTTGACCACTCGCATTGTCTTTTGGCACTCTACTAGTGTGGGTGTCTTGAAGTGTGACACAAATAAGTAAAGTACTGAAGCCATTGTGGTAGCAGTCTTGTACATCACAATTTCATATTTCTTAAAAATAAGATTTGCACTCTCTTCTGTTGATGTGAACCTGTTAGTAACCTTCACTCATGTTTATGAGATCTGTCTCCTCGTGTTGACCACTCGCATTGTCTTTTGGCACTCTACTAGTGTGGGTGTCTTGAAGTGTGACACAAATAAGGAAAGTACTCAAGCCATTGTGGTAGCAGTCTTGTACATCACAATTTCATATTTCTTAAAAATAAGATTTGCAGAAGAGAGTGACTAAAAAAAAAAAAAAAAATCTTAATAAACCCACATTCAATCTCTTACACTGAGTTTAACATACCTTATGTATTAAAATGGACACTAATGTACATAATAAGACTACTACAGGTTCAACCTAATATAAAGGTGATATGAGAAGAAATCACATCACTTTGTTGATGTGGCCCAGTGAGTGTGGCCATGATATGTGTAATACACTAGTGCATCTGAAAAAGGCCCTGGAGGCAAGCCCAGTCAGCCGTGCATACCACCCATAGCAGAAGCCAAGTAAACCTCATATTATCCTAGAGGCAATGGGTTAATGCTGTCCAGTTGTGCATTAGTATAACAATGCTGATCTGTAATTTAAAGACACAAGGCTTGAGCTTGGACTATATTGTACTTTGATGATAAATTTCAGTATTTGTTCAATGTGGTTGTGAATGTAAAATATATACAGTTATATTCTTTATCTTGGTGAAAGGGAAAATGTGTTTTGGCACTCATTCATTTTATTGTTTTAAAGATATGCTATTTGATGTAAGTAAATAAGAGTATGTGTAACAGAATTCTGTATAAATATTTAAAACTGTTTGAACACCCTTAGGTATTACGGATCCTTCATAGTGCACTCCTTTGTGTAAAAATTGAGGCAGATGAGGGTGAAATTTCTCTTATGCAGCTTCTGGGTAAACAGGTAAGATTGGCTATGTTAGAATATGTATTATATAGGCAAGTAAACATGCAACAATTGAGATTCTGTATGTTATTACAAAATCTGATGCAAATGAAATTGATTTTTTCCTTGCTTCAGTAAAGAATTTGAGCTTTATCTGGAAAAGAAATTACCTGGAACAAAATTTTTCTATACTGTCTCAAACTGTATTTATGATTTTTTTTATTATTAAAATCATTGCTACCTGTCCATCTAGTAAATATCTTCCAAACTGGAAGGATTAAAGAATAAGTTGCATAAATATTTCAATAATTAAACATTTTGTCTACCATTTACCATGTAATTGTTTATTTTGTAAAATGTACAAATATCTTACTGTAAGCTTTTTCTTGATTTATATGGTTCATGAAATTCCTTTCTTAACAGCTGGGACAGGAGTTTACAGAAGTGCTTATTAAAGACTGCTTGGCTGAGGCAGTACCTTGCAGTAGAGCCCAGCTGGAGGATTATGAGGAGGTCAAGCGTGACACACAGAAATTCCAGGATTTCCTTATTGAAATTGGTAGGTGCTACCAATATATCCATAAAAAAAAAGAATTAGGCCAAGTCCAATTTCATTTTCCATTCCCATGCAAGTGTCTGATCACTGTGATAATGGTTGGAAAAAAATCAAGTATATGGTAATACAAATATTAATTGTGTTTCTCTTTTCTTCAGGATTTTATGGACCTGACAACAAGTCCATCATAGAGTATGCAGCCAATGTGGATGTTGTCTTCAGTAATAAGGCTTGTGCACACTTGTTGGAGCGTGCTAGAGAGCTTATGACTCGACCAGTTCATGTCACAGTCAGTGTTACTCCACTGGAACCCGAGGGACCCTCATCATTCAGGTAAATTTGGTGTATTTACTCAGATATTTGTTCTTAGAAGGATGGAAATTAAAGGCAGTAGTATATTGTAATTGAAGCCAATTGTGAACTTTAAAAAAATATCTTCTGTGAGGAATATGGAAAGAGTTTGTTTTTGATTTGTAAATGCCCGCGCTGTCCTTGTATTTCTTAGGCATCAGTCAGCCAGGATTTTGGATAAATGAAGCATTGAGGATAGAAATCGTAGCACAAATAGGGGTAATAGGATTTATATTACTGTTAATATTAGTTAGTTATCATAATCATTTTTGTAATCATTATCATCATTGTGGTATTCATTATCATGTCATTATTTATAATTACAATTTTTATAATGGTAACAGTAATAATGATAATAATTAACCAATAAACTATTGAGTGCCAAGTTCGTGTGTACTTAATAATGAAAATAAATGTGACGAAAGCCACTTATGATAACAGAGAGGGAAGAAAGATTGACAAGTTGTTAATCAAAACTTTTGTGAGCTGCATTTATAAATCACCTTCTGTAAAGCCATGTGGCAGTCCAATTCTTGTCCTGCTAAATATACAACAGTTTATGGGAAGTTTGTTGGTGCTGATAATCATTGTGATGATTATCATTTTTGTATATCAATCTTGATTACAACCACAATAAGTGGCTTTCTTAACTATTAACCCCTTGGATCAAGGTGACATGACCAGTACATCATCAAAAAAATTGGCTGAGGCCAGGTGATGTGAATATGCTGTCATGGAAAAATTTGGCTGAAGTAACAGTAACATGCCATCATAAGGTTTTTTTCTGAAGGCTGAGGTAATGGGAATGACTTGCTAAGAGTGCAGAAAGTACTTGTTAGTGATTAGACTTATTGAGCATGTAGGAATTGCCTCTTGCTTTATTGCCATTGGTAAAGTAGTGCAAAATTTACCATGTACAGATTACATAATATTCACATATGATATAATCTGTGTGTGTGTGTGTTACGTTGACCACGTAATATACGCTTAGAAATGTTTGTAATAATTTGGCAAAAATGTCTAACCCAAGCTAAAGCTAGATCATGCATCTTAATTAACCTCTTGCTTTTGCCATAAGAAACCTTTATTTTTCAGAACAAATCTTAGTGTAGATAAGGCAGTGGCATCCTTGACTTATAAATGATAAAGGAACTTTCTTGGACCTGAAAACTTAAGCCCAGGTTCCAGTTATGAGCTTCAGCCACAGTTCCTGAGCCACCTCTAGTGCTGTAACTTATATTAGTTACATAAGTTATATTCCTGGTGCAGATTTCATTGTTAGTGTTGCAGTAACTGCAGGATGATATTTGAAAACTTTAATGATCATACATGATAGTTCATCATTGGCCGTGAACAAATTAGAAGGATCTGGATATTCTAGGTCTGGCTACCCTAGTTCCTCGATTACATGCCTAGCCTGGCTAAAGAGGTCATCATCCTCAAACTGAGACTGGTTCCAAAATCAGAGAAAGCCTTTATGGAAACCTCAGACTATGTAAATAGTATGTAAGACTCCTGGACCTGCAAAGCCTCAAAGGAGGCAAGCTGACATGATACATGGTGAGGCTGAGCCAGTGTCTGGTTTTTGCCAAAAAACACATTGGCACAGTGACATCAGGTTTGTTTTTATAACTTTATATTGGTTATAATATCCATAATAATGATGATAGCATCAATGTAAATAGCATTAATAAGTGAAAGGAAAGGAGAACTCAGGTACGGTCATGATGTCTACAGATCGACTACTAGGTGACTGAGCACTTGTGGAGCCATTTATTTGTAGAGACAGTTCACAAAACAAAACTACAGTGATCATTACATTTCCCAGTGGCATAGGGTTTAATAGCCTTGTGAAAGTTTAGACTTTGAATTTTAGAAATATTATTTTTAAGAGACTGATAACATTCATTGGTTAATAGTTGATTATTAGGGAATTTTGCAATATGTGTCATTCTAATGCTTTTGGCATGAACTTTCTCACATAAGCTCAGGAGTATGCTTCCCAACATTGAATAAAGAGTGTTTATGGCTTTCCCATTCCACTGAAATAAAGAAAAAAACAGTTTCATAAATATAAAAAATATACATTTTTTTCATATTTACAAAAGTAAACAATTTTGGTGAGCTTTATTAAAATTTAAATGGAATGGACAAGTCTAAACCACAGTCTATGTTAATATAAGGAAAGTAGCCACATTTTCATTGGTAAAAAATTGTTCTTTGCCAGGTCAGAAAAGCAACTCATTTTTGACTTTAGAGAAGAGTTTTTTTCCTTCTTTTTTATAAACATAAAAACTATAATAAATACTAATTGTGAATATAGTTATCCATTTGCCATAATATATTTTATTTGATACTAACTCATAAAGGCTTTGAATGATACTGTAATCTAAACAATCTAAACTGAAGTTTAGATTGTGAGGAATGTTGTATTAAGGCGGCCATCACGAAGTTCGTCATTTATGATTGGATTTTCGCGATTTTTAATATAATATATATACATATGTTGATAAACACCACCAAATTTCATATCATTTGAATAATAAACAACGGCGTTATTTAAGAAAAACAAGTTTGTGAAAAATCACAAAGTATATATTCACACATTAACCAAACTTGTTGAATAAAATACCACATATACTCTATAACAATACAAAAAGTCTCTATTATAGGATCTTTGATTTCCTTTTAGTTTAGTGGAATTATTTTTTTCTAAATGCTCAGTCCTATGAACTCAAGATATGATATATGGACTTCTTTTATGTGAATGAAAATATCCATAATGTAAGAAATCTCAAATCTATTCAGCTTTCAAAAGACCCAAACCCCATTGGAATCTCCAAACAGTTATGGAGAAATATAAAAGAGTGTTGGCAAACATATAGTTTCCAGATATCGGGCTCGAAGTTTAGGATACTTTTCCGTCAATTTTTTTTTTATTATTATTATTTTTTTTCGTTTTTAAGAATTCGTATCTCTGTGTCAATCTTTCTACATTCTATAGCATTCACATGGTATTCTAAAGTGTAGCTGGTACCTGGTCCCCCCCTTTTGCAAAGTACTTATGGCAATAATTGCACATGATTGTAGAATTAGCATGTGTCATCACAGATTTCGCAATGCCTAACGCTGTGATTGAGATTTATTTCTTATCATATAATGTTTATTATATACAAACATAACATTTACCATTAGTTGTGTCCCCTTACTGTGTAATGAGGGCGTACTTCTCCAAGATGTGTTGTGGAGGTAGGAGCTATTAACATTTTGTTTCCTAGAATGGCAACATCTTGTCTTCCAGAGTCAGATATTTAGGCATTACTCCTTTATTCTTACGTATTTATCAGAAATATTACTTCTGTGGATTGCCAAAGCCTACAAGATTACACAAGATTTTTTTTCAATTTTTCAAGTATTTTTAAAAATATTTGTCAAAAATCTACGGCAACGGCCCCCTTAATAGCAGTTATAGTGTTCAGTATATATTTGATGTAAAGTTTCTCTTCCTGGAAGTGAATAGAGAGAATTTGATTAAAGTTTCAATGAGATTTTCTCCTAAGTATCTTCTGTTACAGTCAATAGCAAGGTCTATATAAGTAAGGTCTCATCACTTCATTTCTGCACAGCTTTGGGTAATAAAGCCTAAGACATCGCTTAGGGGTTGACATAGAAAGTGGAAGGTGGGACATAGAGAATATTAGGCTGGGGAAGATGATGATAGAAAGCGGTAGCAAATGAGCGATCACTTAATTAATTTTTGATGCTGGTACATTCCGGCGATTTGCACATTGACCTGATTTACTAGCGATGATAAATCATTGGCAGGAAAACAGGAGAGAGAGGGTGATCTTTACATATCTACATTTCATCCAAGACTGACCTCATGATTAGTGCTGAACCTCCAGGCTTTGTTTTATGTAACGCCATGCACAAGATGGAGAAATTTGAGGAGCTTATTGATGAGACCGTATTTACTTAGACCTAGGTCTGTAGTATCCTCATTAAGGGTTTGTCATATTTAGGTCATGCAGTAGAAGAATCTCGCTATTGCAGTGAATTTCAGGGAATCTGGCATGATTCTTTAAGTAGATAAAATTTTGCAGAATACATGACTTTTTGAGCTTTTACAACATAGGCCACTTTTTATGTAAGTTGATATACTGATGTTTAGTGATGAAAGCAAACGTGGAACATACCTTTTAAATAGATGGGCTTCTCTATTTTTTTATTTGGAAATGCACTAATAAAATGCTAATATATATCAGATGATCATTTGTCTCTACCAATTGTTCCATGACATTACCCATTAAGGGGACCGTCCCGGAAAATGGCCACCTTTCCCTACTCTATACATCATAAAAAATATCGGTTAGAGATAACTGATTGATTCTTTTTGCATGCTATAGAGTAAAGAATTGCGCTCGTTATATATATAAATTTTAACTTTGCTCCCCATTGGGGGGGGCACCCCCCAAAAAGTAAAAAAATTTTTTTTTTTGGTATGTCTTCGGTACATCCCAACTATCAGAGCTCTTTACAGAATATTCCCCCAAAAATACTAGTGTTAGATCAACTCTAGCCTATAGCCATGTAAAAGGCCGAATTTTGAATTTCCTTTTTTTTTTGGCGGGGGACAGCTTGACATAGAGAACTATTTTTAATTTTTTCAGCATTAAAATATTATTATTTTTGATTAAGGCAAAAATTCAAAAATCGGCCTTTTACATGGCTATGGGACGCCGAGGCTCTAGTGAAAGCAACAAACTGCATTTGGATCGCATGAAAATTACGTGAGTTGGGATGTACCGAAGATTCATAAAAAAATAGGAGCTACGGCGTTTTGTATTTGGCACCTTGCCAAAGTTCGTTATCTCTGTTATTTTTCTCTGAATCTAATGATATTATATATCAAAAAAACGCTTATTTAGTGTACTTTGCAATGCAATGATTACCAAGTCAATAGGAATTTTCATGTTCAATAGGGACGCTATTCTGTAAAGGTATGTCATTTTTTTTTTTTTTTTTCGTTGTTCATAAAGTTGATATTTTCGTGTGAAAAGCTTAATAAATGCATTTTACCATAGAGACAACTAATCTAAACCAGATAAAAACCTTTTTTTTATTTTTTTTTTTTCCATTTATTTTTATTTATTTTTTTTTTTTTTTGAAGAAATGGGGAACTGTGGATGGCAACATTAGTACAAAATCATTCTAATTATAAAGTCCTGGCATGAATACAACATGGTGGTTCAATTTTGAGAATTTAAAAGCATATGAATTTAGTACATTGAATTCGAGAACTTACGAAAGTCGTTGAATATTCCCCATGCCTCACACAGGGGGGGGGAGGGGGAGATGGTCACTGGGTGTTTATAATTTTCGAGGAGGATCATATGTACGTGAACGCACGCACATAAAGTTAAAAAGATTAATCATCATCATTTAGTAGGCCTACATTGACTTTCATATCTAAATAATAAAATTTATTAGTTATCCCTCTCATACCCATTTTCTTTGATAATTGTCAATATTAACAGATTGCAAGGAGAACAAGTGTAAAGTTTATGATTAGCCATTTGCACCCATTATCTTTACTAAGAAGTGCATAAAATCATGCAGACGCCTATGTTGTGGGATATTTGCCAATTTATGGTGCCTAAGACTTACGGTAACGTCTAAACATATTCATTTTTATCGGGAACGCACGAAACGGATGCGATAGCTTTTTGAACGCCAGACGAAGACTACGCATACAACCGAGCTCAAAATTCCATATAGTTTTTATTTCAGAGCAGGTATTACTGAGTACTATCATCTTCAACATGAAATAATCTGTATCTCGCTTATACATCCGAAGTTTAAAAATGACATTTAGGTAACATTCGTATTGAATTGGTCTTTACAACGGTAACTACCAATTTCAAATCAATTCAAATTGCCCCCTGCTGTGATGTACCGACCGTTGAGCGAAATGTAACGGAAATATTTCAATCCTTCCTTATAAGGCTATTTTTAAACATTAGTGCTTCGTATGTGATATACGTATATATTACCACGTAAACTAAAACATATTACCAGGGAGTCTCGATCAAAGCATATTTCGTGTGTAAAAGGACACAAAACATACATTTTTTTTAGATATATTTCACAAAATATTTCGTCATAAATCACGGTGATATAATTTTTTCCTGATATTGGTATAAAAGTGTTCCTTGAACATTAACAAACTCATATCTATGCGCAATGTCATAATTAAATGCCTTATGCACGATTGCCGCAAGCAAAAGTCCACATAGGTGTACCTGGGCGCTCAATAGCGACGTACCTCTCCGGGTGCTGAGGGACTCACGCCGGCTGCAAGACAACGAGCCATAGCAGGCGTTAATACTCGTTTGGTAGTTTCCTCATCCATGTACCTATACTATACGCTAACTAACTCAATTTAACCCCTTCCCCCCCTCCATCAGGGACGGTCCCCTTAACCCATTGGACATATTACCTTGCAGCCCACACGGACCAAATCCAGACCATAGGCTTACTTGTATCTCCTAGGTGTGTGGCTTTTAGGTCTGGCCCACATGAGTACTTGTGTAGTATCAAGAATCCTTATCTCCTTTTGTGATATTATTATCTCTTTTATGCTCTTTTGGCATTTTCTAATGTCTATATTTGTAATTTTGTATGCTGTATGATGATGGTAAAGATTTTTGTTCTTTGATTAGACTCCATATATTCTCTCTAGGTAGACTACAACTCTATGCTTTAACAATAACATTGTACTATTTGTGTTATTTCAAAATCATTTTGTATTCACTTTTTTGAAACACCCTGTGCCTCTGGTCATGAGGGCAAGAATAAGATCCTGGGTATGGGAATAGTGTTCTCCCTTAAGCCAGTGCTCTTCCAAGCAGGGCTCATGGATGATACATTCCACACTTGTTTACTTGTTTACCAATGGAAATGATATAAGAGCCCTTCCTAAATGCCCACTAAGTCTAATCTTCTAAAAGCTTTGTGCTCTTATGATGAGTTATTCCCATCTCCACAGCCAGTCTTCAGCCAAATTTCATAAAGGAACTGAAAGAACAATGTCAAACTTGGGTGAGGGGAATGTTATACCTCTTTTTGGTATTAATGGTGATCATCCTGTTCTATGATCTGTTTGAGATAAGGGCCAGAAAGTTTACTGTGTTCAGATATCTTTGCCATTGATTTGAACACATAAATATGTCTGCACTTTGTTACTAGTGAATGAACTAACCATTTAACTTGTGCAGGAATAACTACAAGATACTATATTTATTTGTTTATTTTGTTCTATGTTTTATTTATTTTTTATGTTTTGATTTCTTTTCCCCTTTTTTCATCATCTTTACTTTTATCATCATCATTGTTTGCATTGTAAGTATTCTACATATATAGAAAATATATCTCTAAGTGTGATTCTCTTTCTTCATGTATTTTTACTTGTTCCAAAAGAATAAATAGCAAGGAGGTATTTTTGTGATGGATGCCTTCATAATATGAAGGGGCTTTGCAAATTACGGCTGTTAATTGTTAACATTTCTATCATAGGATGAGACTGGTAAGAAGTTAGAGAAGAGCAGTATGAGGCTGGAGAAACTTCTTGCAGCAAAGACATTCAACCTTCCTAAATGTCAGATCAGGTATGCATTGATGACCAATTTTTTGAAAGGGAAGTCTCTCTGATGACTGTTTTTTTGGGGGGGTTTGATTGTGACATATCCTTTAAAACATTGCATTTTGTTAGAACATGAATCAGGTCTTGGTAGTATCAAATAATCAACATTATTTTCAGTGCCTCTGTCTGTGAACTTGTTGAACTGATTTATGAGACAATGGAAGAGGCTTGTACCAGTGCTGCACCATATGCAGGGAGTTGTTCTATACTGTGCGTAACATCCTGATGCTCTACTGCCAGGTTGTACCAACTGCCCATGCACATGCCCTTGCTACCTTGCCACAACAAGCAGGTGAGTTTTGGAAATCAAACAATTATTTCTTTTATTATTTGTTTTATATTACAGCAATCTTCTGAGACAGAGGGTCATTGAAGTTGCCAGTTTTAAATTTTTTGTATGTGTACTTAGATATCTTTAACCCACTTATGATGGGTGTCCCACATGTGAGACACCTGGAAAAGTACCTATTGCCGGTGTCCCGCTGATGCAACACCAGTTCAGAGCTCGTGCTTTGATTTTGTCGCCCATGGCACGGGGTGCGTGGGCAGGTTGGCAGACTTGCCCGCACGCCGAATTTGAAGCCTAGGAAATAGTATTTTTGGCTTATAAATGTACCATCGCTAGTGGGTTATTTTTTAATATCTTAAGCACCAAAAGATGTACAAGCTATGTAATGTAAAGTACTAATGTTTTATTTTTTATTTCTCTTTGTGTTTGGAAATGAAAAACTAGGAAGTTATTGGACAAATTGTTAGGAAATATAAATGTTGAAAAATTCTTCACAGTCACAGCTCTTTCCCTAAGATTAGCAATCTCTTTCTTTGTATGTTCTCAGCTATCATACACAACAACAGCATGTACTTAGCACATCATGCTCTCCTGTTGGGACATCAGTACAAGCACAGACTTCCACAAGCCCTGCGAGACAATACATTACTACAGTTGACCTTGCTCAGCAGCTCAGAAGAATGGCAACTTCCACATTCTTGAAGGCAATGCAGTGGCATCGTGCATCAATAATTGATACATTAAGAGAGTCTGCAGGTAAGTCACATATCAAAAAATTTATGTTTGGATTTAGTGCTTCCATCATTGTTCCACTACACCCCCATCCCATACCCATTGTTATTGTGGGGGGCGTAGGAGGTGGGAACTGAAGCCCAATGTTTGGGATCACCTCTTGGGCCTCATGCCCACCTCAACCAATTTTGTTTGTATGGTCTTTTTCCTTTTGAAAACCTTTCCTTTACCTTGTCTTCTATCTCTTCTGTCCACTTCCTATGGTGTAAGAGGCTACCTTTGAGTCAGTCCTGAACACTCTTGGGGAAGCATGGACATGGTATTCCCTTGGTTAATTGTCTAGCCTGTATCCCTCATGGTGGACCCTTTGAAGCTTTTCCCCTTCCCCCTTCATCAACAAACTTATCTGTATTTAATTCTCTGTTTTTTTTTTTTTTTTTTTTTTTTTTTCCCCTCCCTGCCTCTCCTTTGATGACAGCTCCAACCATTGCTATTATACCCCTCCTCGGTACTTGCTTTCAACTTGATAGATTCAGAATAACCTACCCAGGTCATTACTTACATTCAGAATACTTCCCTTCCTCTCTCCCAACATCCTCCTCTCCATCTCCTGAATAGTCTTCATTTTCTGCCTCCTCCTCCTTATTACTACTTTTCATCCATATTGTCCTACCCCACTCCACATGACTCCCTTTTCCATCTGCCCCCGTGTTTCTACTACTTCCAACTCTACAAACCTTTTGAGCATTCTTTTTACCCCAGCCAAGGGTATTCAGTTCTTTGTGATTCCATCTACAGCCCCTTACTCTGAAATTACCCTCCTCTTCCAACAATGTCTCCAAAAACAGTTGGTAGAGTTTCCTTCTGCAGCCATTCTGATTGTTCACCCCTTGTAATAGTTACATTGGAGTCCCAGGCTTGTGCATTATCTGCCCTGACTGATATCGTTGCCAAACCTATTCCTTTCTAGCCTTACTCTTCCAATAATACTTGTACTGGAACTGTTTCCATCTCTCCAGATGATGGCCCAGTCTGTGTCAGGGAATGGTTAGACTGTGAAAACAAACTGCTTGCCTACCTTGTTGACTATGTTACAGTGCTACATTAATCCTCTCAAAGGCTGCAGTAAGCCCTACACCAATATTGCCAGGATCACTTTCCATAGACATGATCTTCCCCAATAATTTTATATTGGCAGAGAGTACTGCCCTTTCTGACCATTTCATCCCCTTCCCTGTTAATGTAAAAAATGTTGGTGTGTTGGCCACCCTGCCAAGCACTGTCGCTCCACAGCCTGCAGCCCTCTATGAGCCCATCCTGGTCATGACTGTTAACCCATCGCCGACGGGTAAAAATTTTGGCAAGTATACGTATGCACGGGCTTGTTGGCGCGCATCGGCAGTTTCCCCTGTTTGCGCCCGGCTTGATCGGTAGTTTGCGAGCGACATTTAGCACCTAAAAGCTTTTATTTGCTAAAATTTATAAAAAGTATTAAAATTTTGAAGGTTTACCTTCATTGTAGGTGCCATTGCCAAAAATCTTTACCATATAAATGAAGCCGCTACTATCGGAGAAAAACAACCTCCGTCCGACGAGCCAGTAGCGCGGAATGGGCATGACATTATACCCCTGGCGTTTGGTCCACAACAGCCATGGCATGTACGTACATGGCACCCTGCGGCAACGGGTTATATTGCTCTGCAGAAGCATTCAGATATGCCAGTTATGGTGGCTCTCATGATGTATTTTAGAGGAGCTGCTCTGCCTACAAGTTCAAGTCTGAGGTAGCAGTTTTCAGATTCAAACTAGGCCTCACTTTACATGAGGTTAGACAGGAAGCATGCTGAAGAGGCTTTTCTTTTGCTACTTATTCCAACTATCGCTCTGCTCCTCTCCCTTCTCAAATGTCTTAGCATCTCCTCCAGTATCTCCTCCTCTTTCCCCATATCGTCCTACCTCGTCAAATTCTTTAAATCCAGATACTCCAATCTCTACTACACCCTCAGTGCATTAGGCAATCTAAATGTTCCAACCCCTCTTCTATTACCACATTCTTAAATGCCCATCTTTCCTCTGCTCCTCAAGTATCTGTTTCCTTTATTCCCCATAAGGAAAACTTATTTCTCAGATCTCTCCAACCAATACTCTAGACACTCTTGGGGATATCCAAAACTTTCTAAACAGGACCCAAGAAAATGCTCCTTTCTCTCTCATCCACCTTCCAGTTTCTCTATTTCCAAGCCCTCTGTATGCAAAGTAACTGCCAACATCCATCCTCCTCCTCCTTATGTTCCCCCTATCCCTCTTTCCCCACTCTCTCCCAATACCCCCATCCTTCCCTTCTCCACCTGCACCTTCCCCTCTTCTTTCCCCATTATCCTTTTCACTCCCACCAGGATGCTCATGTGATTCATTATCATGCTGTTATACTGCTCTATGACCTTTGATATCAAACTCATTTTGTCATAATCATTAACTTCTTTTAACCGTTTTGCTACTGTACCAGTGTTATAAGACCTTTGATGTCTGACACATTTATTTAGTGTAAACATTAACTATTAACCACTAATTTCTTTTATCAAGCTTTTGTATCAGACCACAAACACATGTAATTTCATAAATTGTGTTTAAGCATCGGGCTGTTAGGATCAGATGTATAACTTCTCAGTAAAATTTGGTGACACTATTGTTTTGATTGCATATTTTGTATATTTTAACATGATTGTTACTATTATTGTCATTATTATCATTTTGATTGTTGTTGTTATTAATGATGATGATAATGCTTACATTAGTATTATTATTACTCTTTCTCAAACAGGCTTAGATATGATTGGATGTGACACTAGTGCTGTGAACAAAGCAGAGCAGGGTATGCGACAATGTTTGCACCAGCTGCAGTTACTTCATCGTGTGTGGCAACATGTTCTTCCTCATACAGTCTACACAAAAGCAATGAGTATGATGTTTATGGTAACCTGTGATGATTAATTAATCAGAGTGGGTGGTGTTAATTAGAGGTGCTGTTAAAAATAAAACTAGAGTGAACTGATTATCTGCATCTTATATTCTAATATATTTTTTTTTATTACTTGAATTAAGTAACAAATAGGCACTAAGATGAAACTCTTTGACAGGCACACTGGTAGGATCTGTGGTAGAAGAAGTAGTTATCAGAGTTGTGGGTTTGGAAGATATATCTGCAGATTCAGCTCTTGCCCTTATCAACCTCCTCAACCTTCTTAAGGACAACATACCTCCCCTCTTCCAGGTAATGTCAAGGCTTTATTATTGTTGTGGTTGATATTGTGCTATAATGATGATTAGGCTGTATAAGAAATATATAACTGGTTTCTTTAAACTTCACGTGTTATTTATTGTGGTTTACATGTACTTACCATGCTGACCACATGTTACAGTCGGTTGAGGTGAGGAAAATACATCTTAAATTAATTCCTACAATCTTTCTTCAACTACAAACTCACTATTTATTTCATTGATGTTTTCTCTTGATCTAATGCATATGTAGTATATGCATTAGTATATTTTTTTTTTCCTTCTGTCTTACCCATTATTATTACAATTATCATTATTTTTTACTTTTTGTCTAGATGACATTTCATCTTCCCTTTCTTCTCTAATTCCTCATCTGTTTTGCTGTTTTATTAATCCCTCCTCATACATTACATTGTAATGTTCTTTTAACTGTGTCTGTATAATCATCTGTCCTTTTCTGTATAATTAATTACCTGTGTACTGTCTGTGATCTATCATTTTCATGTACAAAGCATACTCTTGGTGGTATTGTTTATCAACACCCATGATTGTCATCGGCTTTTTTTATTACTTTTATATATATGATATTTAAGTAAAATGGAAAAAAAACATGAATAATTACAATTGTATAAAAATCATAAAAAAATAATTTTCAATTTCTCTTGTTGTTTAAAGGTTGAAGGTGAAGCCAAGACTAACCCTGGAGATGTCATAAGGCATGTTCGACTCTGGGGGAAATTCTGTGAACTCATTGTTGTCTTGGGAGCCAGCTTACATGACATCTTAGACCGATGGTCTGATGGAAAAGGCCCTCTGGCACACGAATTCACTCCAGATGAAGCGAAACAACTCATCAGAGCACTCTTCCAGAACACTAGTCGAAGAGCACAGGTCTTGGCAAGCATTAAGTGATTCTTGTTGCTTGTGGTGCTGATAGACCTTGATCCTAGGAGATGTTTGTTAGCAGATATTGTAGCATGAAAATAATACAGACTTTATAGGATATATTTATATCTTTTTCTTTCCTCCTTTAATATTACCTTGCTTTTTTATTAAATTATTTCTGGGACAAGTATACTTACTATCCATTTATTTTTATCAGGCAATACTTTTGTATGATTATATTAATTATGTATGTTATTCTTTATTTACTTATATATATATATGCATGTATGCTTAATAAAATGTCCCAGTGGCTAAATTTGTGCCTTTAACATACCTGTGATAATATGTCCAGCTGAGTAACAAATATAAGTGGAATAACAAAATGTACAACAATTAATAAAGTTTTGCTTATACAAAAAATATTTTCATTAAGGAACAGATGATAGGTATTACCTTACTTGAATTTCTTTGGATGGCTGTAATTAACTAGAATTTTTAATATATATTCACATGACCAATAGATTTTAATCCACTCTTGAAGGTGAGATGTCTTTATGAATTATATCATAAGGAGTAAATTCTATAGACTTTTTGCAGTATCAACTATGAGGATATTACTTTCATGATAGTTTTATTTATAAATCATACTATAGTATGATTTATCAATTTTCACTGAATTTATATTTTTCATCTAAACTTGCAAATGGTTATATTCACCATCAAGTTTACTTAATATTTTTGTGATGTTTGACTGTCCATGGGAAATGTATAGATTTGTTTATTAGCCTCCCTTGTTTTTGTCTAGATTAAGGTGATCTGTGGAATGGGAAACAATAAACTGTTTAAATTCTTCACTTTATTGTAATATATATCTGAAAACAGAAAGTATGGTATGAATAGAAACTCCTATTAACCGACTAGAGTATAGAATGATTTTTTATCGAGGTTTTTCTCCTCGGTGGCAAAAGGAACTGGCTTTGTTAAAAATAGATGTATATTTCAGAGCAGAATCATGACAATGTATCAGATATTCAGATCTTAACTTAAATACCTTATGTATATAATGGGGGAAGAGCTAGATTTGACCCACTGCTCAGTATAGATTCAGACTAATAGAATTTTGTAAAAAATTATCAAGTAATTAAAAGACTTTTAGGAAGCTTCCAACACATGCATATAATTTTAGTTTCACTTTTTTGTTTGTTGTTAAGGACATTTGGAAAAAATGCTTTATAAATTGTTGAGTAAACAAAAGGGTTAATGGAGCTGAGCAGTTCCTTGATTGCCCAAGTGGGTGATGGGATGCCAACCCCAACCGAGAGTCTGTTGCTCTAGAGTGTGCTTTTGATGCTGATGAGTCCCTTTTACTATGAAACCTTTTAGATAACAGACACTAAAACCCCCACCATATTTGTAATGATACTCTTGATGAAATGTTTCTTA